TGTAAAAAACACAAAGTACTTACCAAAATATACGTTATCTAACATGGAATCTATTTCAACTGGGTATTATAGTATGAAATTATCAAAACGCTATTTTGTCAATTCAATCAACCATATGAAAATTTATGAACATGAACGTGTTGAAAATTGTATTAAAATAGTTGATATTGTTTCAAGATTTGCTTCAGCTACAAAACATTCTTCGATATTAAAATTTTATTCGCAGAAACCACAAGACACCAAATTCTATTGTTCTTGTAAAAGTGGTGCACGAACAACCAATCCTTGTGGACATGGATTATACATCTTAATGTTAATTCAATCAATACAAAATTAGTTACCTCGATTAGTGCTAACAAAAAGCACCACGAATTATCATAATGCTATAAAAATTGAAGAAATTTCATCACATTATCAAACGGTATATGACAATATTATGGATTGTAAAATTTACAAGGAATGGACAGCAGTTAATGAAACATATTGTGTTTGTAATGAACCTTATCATGAAGTAGAATGGACGGTCAAGTGTTCTATTTGTAATGAATTATACCATCCCAGTTGTATCGGTCAAATTCAAGAAGAAATTGAAGATAATATAGATGAATGGAAATGTCCTTATTGTGAAGAAGATGATGTTGGAATCGGTGATAACTCAGACAATATTGATAAATAGTGAAGTTAGGTTTATTTTTAATGCATTTTAAATTGTTGTATAACGTGTGTTATAACTATATTTGGATACTTTTTTTTTGAAAGAACCCTCTTTCCATTAAAAAAATGATCGTTTGTTTATTGATATAAATCGTAAAAGAATATTTTACGGTCCTCTATTAAAAAGTCTCAAAAACCTTGAACAACAATCAAAAAGAACAGTGTAGAATTCAATCAGATACAGGGCTGGGCAACTCCAACTCCGGAGTTGAGGATTTTTTCGGTGGAGTTGGAGTCGGAGTTGGAGTTGACCTTGACGGAGTTGGAATTGGAGTTGGAGTTGAGATTTTAGGAGGTTGGAGTTAGGTTTTTGAACTTTTATTCTCAACTTCATTTTGCATTTTTGGAAATTCATGTCTTTGAAGATAAAGTTAGAATCACAGCAATAAATACTGAATCAAAGTGTGTTTCAATCCTTGGAAAGATAAGAAGTGATCTTCGAAAAATTTCCACTCTTTGTTCTCTTCAAGGAAACATCGAAAAAGTCTTTTCTTCTCTTCACATCACTCCTTCGTTCGATTACTGTATGGTACAAAGGACGGGGGCGATTATTTGATGGAATCGGCCCCTGCCTGAATTCCATCGACACATACATGGTTAGATGCAGAATGAACAGAAGAACATTTCTAGGTACTCGGCAAACCTTAGAATTGCTCACAGAAAAAATTGGGTCGAATTAACTGTAATCAAAGTTCTGCTTCTTCTGATATGTATTATCGAGCATATTTTTGAGTGTGTCTCTCGTGGCTTCATACCTTACTACAACTATTATATGTCATTCGATAGCTCTTTTTCTGCGCTATATTTCTGTATATCACCTATACGGAAATACTCGTTCTGAGCCCAAGTATGTTTAGAAATACTTCCGGCTATGGAAAATGACAGTCTACATGCAAAAAGCCTAAGATAATCTATGACACGCTTTCTCATCTAGCCACTACAATAGATATACCATTCGACAGAGAATATCTCGTGCTACAATTTCATATCTATAAAAGAGTGAAAAAAGTGTCCTAGGGCTTTTTCACACAACTGCAGTCGATTCACCAATAGCCACAAAGGGCGTGAAAGTTACGAAAATATTCCGGTGAAAAAGCACTATACC